GGAGGGGGGAGGTCGCACACAGACAGGGAAGGGGGGTGTGGTGCACGTGGATGCGTGCGCTGGTGTGCATTTCATGATGTTCATGAGCGCGTGCAGCCACTGGAGACCTGACAGCCATGCAGGATGCAGTGCTGGACAGGTTTGAGCCAGGTGCGCGCCGTCAATGCAGCAGGCGCGTCTGGCGCGCACGGCTAGCCGCCCGCCGGCTTACTTGGCCGCCAGCCAGTCACCCAACCAGCTTGCGCGCAGCAGGCCCGCTGCCCCACCGCCCCGACCCCCTCTCCTAAACAGCAGCACCGCCCACCTTGTCAGCGACCAGGTAGGCCGAGTAGAAGCCCACGCCGAACTGCCCGATCATGCTGATGTCAGCGCCCGCGGTCAGCGCCTCCATGAATGCGCGCGTGCCGGAGCGCGCGATCGTGCCCAGGTTGTTGATGAGGTCGGCCTTGGTCATGCCAATGCCGCTGTCGGTGAGGGTGAGGGTGCCGTTGGCCTTGTCGGCCTCGATGCGGATGTAGAGCTCGGGGTTGGAGTCCAGGACGCTCTTGTCCGTGAGGGACTGGAAGCGGATCTTGTCCAGGGCATCGCTGGCGTTGGAGATCAGCTCACGCAGGAAGATCTCCTGCGGGGGGGTGGGAGGGGTTGCGGGGAAGCGAGGGGGTGAGAGGAGGCCTTCGAGGAGGGGTGGGGGGATGGATACTGCACATTTCACAGCTGAGGGCTGGCACAAGATGGCAGCGCAACGTGTGGCATGGCGGGCGGGAGGCTGAGGCGACAGCGCCGCTTGCCAGGCCTGAGCAGCGCTGCAGCAGTGCTAGCTGCAGTGCTGCTCCGGAGGCCTCCGGCGAGGTTGGACCACTGGACCACCCCACACGGACTGTGCCCGCTTTTCCCAGGTGTTTGTAGGACGCACCTTGTTGGAGTAGAAGGTGTTGATGATCAGCGACAGAAGCTGGTTGATCTCCGCCTGGGAGAGAGCAGGAGAAGCAAGGGCGAAGGGTTGGGAGGAGGGTGAAGCGAAGTCTTGGCCGAGCGCGCGGCCGCCGCAGCTGGCCCCTGGCAACGCCAGCGTCAGCGTCGCAAGCAACCACGATCGTTCCGTGCAAATTTTCGCCTTCCATTCGCGCCCGCCGAGGCCACAGAGCGCCTCCCGCCGTGCATGATCCATCCAGAAGCTCCCGCCCCGCCGGCCGTGGGACCTCTGGAGTGGTTTCAGGCCCCGGAAACCAGCGCAGAGCGGTATGAAAGACTTGTAAAAGCTACGTTCACGCACCTGGAAGGCGAACTCCTCCCTCTCGCCTGGCATGGTTGCGGTGATCTAGTGCAAGACGTGCTCTGTGTTGTTATGGACGTGCTCCTGAGTGTGGTATACCGCCGCTTTTGACGCGCAGTGTTTCCCGAAAGGCGAACTACGCGCGCACGCAACGGGCCTTTATGTCTTCAGCGCGCGCCTTCTGCTGATCCAGCACCTTCCAGAGACCAGGCGTTCGATCCCTACACGCTGCGCGATCAAAAAGATTTATTGAGTTTCTATGATAATACAGGCGCGCCGGTCAGCGAGTTTGTTTTCGTAGGCTTCGACACCCGCGCTTGCACAGACGGCGTGCACTGCAGGCCGCACTGCCTTGGTCAATTCAAGACGTCTGCTGGCACCACACACAGGTGCGCTGTCAAATGACCTCAACAGATACTAAACACAAGCAAGATGGCGATATGTAATGGAAATGTAGCCGTCATGACCATCCGGTCACTCAGTGACAAATCGCGAGCTCGGGGCAGTGTCAACGCAACCATGCAGCCATGTTTTACCGTAGTCCTAGCACAGCAGGGAATGATGAAGTGCCCTCCACAGTTTGGAACCGCTGCACAACTCGCATGTGCTGCTGCATGCCAACCCAGATCAATGCCTTGGTTTGTGTTGAGCCAGTCAATCCTCGTGGCCTCCGGGCTGGCTCAACAAGAGCCTCGCTCGACACGAAGCAAGCTGATCGCGAGGCTGCGCGCGGTGATGACCACCAACACAGAAAGGGGAAACATGTGCATTCGACGAATCCAGAGTTTGCTCTTGGCTTTCACGCATCATGACTAGACCATGTCGTGTGTGAAGACTGCCACCGGTGATGCTGCTGCGACAATATGACAGCAGTGTTGCACCAAGCAGCCAACAGCACGGGCCCCGCCTCTCAAGCATCTTGGGTGCTGTCGATTCAGCAGTGCGGCAGAAATCTGTGCCGGGATTGCTCAGGGAGAAGGTAGGTTGACAACTGACACCAACTGATGTCGGCGATTGTGCCCAAGGAATTGCACGGGAGGAAGTGCAATCAGACCCTAGTGTCTGAAAGAAAAATCGGACGCAGGCTTTAATTCATTTTGAAGTCACATCATAGGTACTATCATCTGCAAGCACGAAAATCTTGAAATCTCGGAGATTTTGGCCCTTTCGACCAGGACCGACGCGAGCCTCGATCGACGACTGAACCCCTCCGACAACATGCGAGCTTTCGTGATTGTGCTGCTTGTGGCGGCAATGGCCGGCTTGGGTGAGGTGGCACGATTTTCTGCTTTGACGGGTCGCAGCCCACGCGTCCCATGGGCTGGTGCACGCATAAGCATTGCAACGCTGGCCTCGGGGCCCATGCATCCTTCACAAACAAAGCTGCAGGCTCTTCTGACCCCATATACCCTGCACAATCAAGTCACTGCTCTACCATTTCACACGACCAACCTTTGTTCATACTGCCAACAGCCCCGGCCCAAGCCCCGGCCGCCCCTGCACCAGCCAAGGCCCCGGCCCCGGCCCCAGCCCCAGAAACCATTGGGGTGCGCTCGGGCGCGCTCGGGCCGCGTGCTGTTTGCGCTGACCGCATTCATGCAGCCGTGAAGCCGATGCGCTCGCAATCTTCTGGCAGCCCCTTGAGGTTGCCCGGTCATGCTTGAATCGTTTGAACAATGTGGCTCTTCACCAGCCCGTACCAGTCCCCACCTTCACCCGCCCGCGCTTATACGCCCTCACGCGCGGCCCCACACCCCTCACCATCCACCCATCAGGTCCAAATGCAGTTTGACAACCGCGGTGTCAAGGTCCAGGGCGAGCGCGTCGCCGCCAACATTGCGAGGGCCGTGGCTGACTGCATCTGCAACATCCCCCTTGCACATGTCAAGTACCTCGGCACTATGGGCCAGTCGGGCCTCCTCAACCACCAAGTACGCATCACCGCCTGCCTGTGGTCGCTGGTCGCTTGGCTTCATGCGCGTTTTTTGGGGGCGCGTGGTTGTTTGCACCAGGCGCCAGGCCGGCCTGGCAGGCGCTGAGCGGTGTGATGCATTCGGAAAAATGCTGTCACGCCTGAGCTTGTTGCGTTCAGGCAACGTGTGCCGCAGCATCATGCAAATCATGGCTTGCAGGCGCCCAACATACAGGTATTGTTGGTGCACCTCCCTGCGCCCTCCACAGGCGGTATCGACCTACACCTGCACCGGACCCACCAACACTGGCCAGCCAGTAAGTGCTGAACATAGGCACGTCTTGCAGGTTGCAAGCTGTTCGCAAACAGTTGTTGAAAGCTGTTCAATCTCGGCCTGTGACGGGGAAGCTGCTTCACGCGATGCATGTGCCCAGTGTATCTGAGGGTTGTATTCACACCCTACTCTGATCCGCAGCTCCTCAAGGCCTGCCAGACCAACACACGCGGCGGCCTTCTCACGTGCGTGCGCCAATGGCAGTCCGGGCAGCAACTGTTCTGGCTGTGGCTGTTGTGCACCCAGCCTGCACCCGTCCTGACCCCAGGGCGCCATGACTCAGCGGCCTGTTCTGCCTGACCCTGTCGCGGCAATATTGTTTTCGCAGTCGCCAGCCACATCAAAGCACACCACACGTCAAAGGCAACCCTCAGCACCACCCAAACACCCTCAACCCACCCAACAACGTCCCCATGCAACCTTTGCTGGGCAGCTCGTCCATCGCGGCGAAGTGCATCAAGAAATACACCGACACCTGGGTGCCCCTCGACAGCGTCGAACTGCAGAAGGCGACATGCACCCCTTCCAAGGGCCCTCCCTCTGGCAAGTGAAGGCAGCAGCACAGCGTGCTGTTCCCAACTTGAGACGACGCAGTTGGCTGCAGTGGGACGCACAATGTCGGCCCCTGAAGCACGTTAAGTGTTTGGCCACTTGTGGCATTGATGTATGGAGTAGTTGTTGTACGTTGATAGTTGCCGTCAGCTGTCGCGAAGGAAGGCCAGGAGATGAGTCTGGAGCTGTAAATCGGCGTGGGGGTGTGTGACGCTCCAACAATATCCACACTACTACTAAGGGGTTCTAAGACTTCGATGCTCGCACAAACTTTGAAGCCTAGGGCGTGTAGCCTAGGATGTAAAGTTGGGGACAGCGAGACTTCCACGACTGGGCGGGCATGATATGCCACCAGCTGGCCACCTGGAGCGACGGGTGGCGGGTGCTTGAGGGTGTCACCTGGTGTCCGAGCGCACCTTCAGCAAACGCAGTCTTTCAAACGTGAGTGTCAGCTAAGAGCGTTGGCCTGGATCGCGAGGACGGCCGCGAAGCTCGCGCGTTTCCGGATCTGAAGGCGCTCCAGGGGTCCTCTCTTTTGCTTGAAAGGCGATTGGTGTGTGGTGTCACGTGTGTTGCAAAGCATGTCGTGCAAGCGCTCCCAGAGCTGTCGCCTAGCCATCAGCGGGCGCAGTCTGCACTCATGCACAAGCAGCAGCGCCAACGGAACGCCAATGATCAAGCCCAACTACCAGCGGCATCACGAGTCTATCTGCATGCAGAGCTGATGCCAATGCAACTGCCGGTGTTGTGTCCACGGCTCAGATAGTAGCTGCGGCAGTGCGCTACCAAGGCTGTGAATGCTGGGTTTTCCAGGGAGCTGAGCCCAATCGCACCTGGTTCATGCCCTGCTCTGCGACCTTGCTGCGCACCACCAGGAAACAATGGGGCTATTCAACTTCCTCTGGTCGTGGATGTGCAGGTGAGCTGCATTTGATCCTGGGGCAGGGGAGAGTTGGTGGGGCCCAGCTGTTGCCGCACCCACCCCACTGGTGAAGCGGGGCGGAAATGCAAATGAATGTTGAGCGGCGATCGCTGCTGCAACAACACAGGCGTGTGTTCAAGCGTGTTGACTACGACAAGAACGGCCGCATAGATCCCCTGGAGGTTGAGGTGGGCTCTCATCGCACGGGTGATGATGGGAAGCAGCGGTCCAGATTCGGTGCACGCGGAACGCACAACAGCAGCGGGCAGGGGCCCACCGAGAGGCAGGGGCTGTGAGAGCATGCCTACCAGCAACAGTGCTTCTGGAGCCTGGCAGTCGCCAACCACCATGCCACCGGGAGCACACCCTGCGATGCTCCTCTCCCTGGGTTTGATGCCAGGTGGCGATCCTGCACCTGTACAACACTGTCAACAAGAGGCTGCCGGGGTGGCAGGTCAGCTACCTGTAACGCTGTCTACTTACGCCTCTCCTCAAGCTCCCTTACCATCCGCCGCTTTGATTTGTTGGATCCCGGCACACGCGGCGTGTGTGCACGCACGCACGTGTGTGCGTGTGTGCACGTACACGCAACACACATAGACGCACGCTCACGTATTCACCACAGCACACACATACACACGCACGCACACGCGCACATACACACGCACACAGATACCAACTCCATCTCTCCGTTGCACGCACGCTCCTGCACCACTCCAGGACCCACCCACGCGAGCGGAAATCCAGGCAGCGCTGCGGGCATATGATGCAGACGGCAGCGGCTGCTTGGAGGAGAAGGTAAATGCTTGTGTTGGGTAGGAGGGTAGAGAGTGGCACGACGCAATGGGGTTGCGCCACAGTTTGCGGTCGAAGGGCTGCGCTCTGCTGGGAACAGGTGTTCAGCTTATTCGTGCAGTACAGCAATAAGCTGTTTTCAGCATGATACAAACTGTGGGTGATGTTTAGCTGCTCTCACGGCTCCGCTGACACCGGCACAGGAATTCGAGCTCTTTGCCAAGAGCCTCATGCACAGTGGCCCCGACCAATTCTTTGCCAGGTGGGATCAACTTGCATCAACACACATGACATGCTTGCTTGCCGAAAGCTACCAACATGTATGCCCCGCAAGCACCCCTGCATGTTGACGCGTTCACCCACTGCAAATGTCCATGCTCATTTTCTCCAGGGTGGGCAAAGATGCTCTCCTGCGAACCGCCGTGCTGCCGGCAGTCACGGTCGGCGTCAAGAACGCAGCCGGCAACCTGTTCAGCGGCGTGCCCGTAGTGGTGGGTGGCCGCGCACAAGCGCAACGCTTTCAGCATGGTGGTGCGGGAGGGGACGGGCACGCAATTGGTGGCAGCGCGCTACCACTGCATCTTCGCCGCGCAACATTGACATGCATCATCGAGTGCGTGCGCCCCTCCCGTCCCGCAGGTGCTGGCGCCCGCGATTGGCTGCGTCGTTTCGGCCATCAAGGCCCTCATACCCATGTAACGCTCTGCTTCTGGGCTGTCGTTTGCTGTCGCGCGTCTCCCTTGTTGCCCATCCCATTTCATTACGATACCCCGTGATGAAGCAGCACTGGTGTCGTCGTCATGTCAGTAGCCAGCACCACAAAGCTCCGCAATCTACAGCCCAACGCACCCTCGCGGCTGCGACAATTCTGTCGATTTGAAAGAGAGCGTTCAATGTGGCAGCCCATTGCTTGCACAGCAGCAGTAGGCGGCACGTCATTCACCATACGCAGTCAGTCATCCCTTCCCAGTCAAGCGTGTGTGCGTTGTCAGCAGCGAGTATGATAGGTTTGCGTGCATCCGCAGTCGTAGATTTATGTTTTCGAAGCCTCAACGACATCGCGCCCGCACGCAGCCCTCGCGGCAACCGGAAACGAGGGCGCTTACCGCCTTGATTTGCAGATCGGCACTTTCCAGCATGCGGCAATGTAATTGAGAAGAGAGAGTTTGTATCACATATATCAAACCGTTGGCCAGGGCCGTTGGCTGCCGCGGGCGGGGGCACAGTCACAGCCTGCAGCAACAGCTGCTGCCGTAGGCAGCCTCGGGGAACGACGATGGGCTGTATATGCTCAAAGGTAGGGATATGTCTGTCGTAGACGGCACGCGGCCTGCGGTTGTGTCTACCGTGCCGACTTGGATGGCGCGAGGCGCGGACCTCAACGCTCCCCCGCCTGATTTCTCTCCAACGGCGGCAGGAAAACGTGGTAGATGCTCAGGTCTATTCCTCGGCCCCGGCGGGCAAGGCCCCTGCCGCCAACATTGACGAGCCTTGGGCGGATGCGCTGCCGACGTCGCTCCTCTTGCGCTGCGACTCGAACCGCTCCTTGGCGAGCATCTACTTGGATGCCGTGTCAGAAGCGGATTCGGTGGAATCGTTTTTGACTGCGTTTTGCAACACGCCGTCATCGCTGTCGGCCGGTGGCAGTGATGCGTGCGAGGTGTTTGGTGACGCACTCGATGCGCGTCCGCAGCAGCCTGTGCAACCGCAGGTGGCCCAGACGTCGGCCCCGAAGCAGGAGCAGCAGCAGCAGCAGCAGCAGCAGCAGCAGCAGCAGCAGCAGCAGCATGGCAATGGGCACCAGCAACAGCACGTGCACCAGCAGCAGCAACACCGGCACGTGTCGGGGGGCGGCCACCACCACTCCTCAGCTCGCGCAGCAGCGGTGGAGGCTGCAGCAGCGGCCGGGGACAGCCCAGTAGAGTGCGTGCTGCGTCAATACAAGCAGGTGCGATTGAGATTACGTACAGGCTACATCACTACGCTGCATCATCGGCCAAAGTGTGTGTGTGTGTGTCGTGTGTGTGTTTGAATTTGTTGACACGCGCCAACGTTGTTTCCGCTGGACGTCCGTAATCCACGACTGCTTGCTGTGCAGCTTGAGCGTCAGCGCCGCCTCCGGCCTGCGCTCCCCTCCCCCTTTCCCCCCGTCGCCCACTGCCTCTGCCCCTGCCTTCCCAGGGCGACATACTGCTGTGCAAGGCGGTGGGCGAGCTGATCGCCTACTGGAAGGCCAGCGGCGTGGCGCTGGACGCGCTGGAGGAGCAGCTGCTGGCGGCCGAGGCGCACGCGGAGGAGGAGGCGCGCCGCCAGCAGGCCCTGCGCCAGCAGCAGGAGGAGCAGGAGGCGGCCGCCGCCGCCGCGGCCGCGGCCGCGGCCGAGGAGGAGCAGCAGCGGGCCGGCGGGCGCCGCAGGGGGCGGCGGCGGTGGGTCTCCACCTCTGGGGACGCGCTGCTGCCGGGCGCGCGGCCGCTGGCGTCCGCGGGGCTGGGGTGCGGCGGGTCCGACCTGTTCAGCGCGGCGCACGTGATGTCCCACGTGAGGGTGACCGCTGAGCTGATGAAGCAGCTGGAGGAGAGCAAGGGGTGGCGGCAGGTGGCGTTTGGGGCGCTGCAGACGTGGCACCACCACGACAGGGAGGCGGGGCTGCAGCACTTCAAGGTGCACTGCGTCATAGAAGAGCCCATGCTGGTGAGTCATCATGGAGGGGGGGGCGAGGGGCCACTGCGGGCGGTGGCTGCGTGGGGCAGAGGCGTTGGGGACTGCATGGCGGGG